ATACACATTCCCAGCCCAACAAAAAGGTAATCTGAAAACACAATAACATTTACCAGCAACTGGTGGCCTTGGAGGGCTAGCTTCCAACTTTGAAGAGGAGAAGTAAGCGACATGGATGTTCCTGGTCACCTGGAAGTTTGCTGCGGAGGTACCTAGTCTTCCTATAAAATACACATTTTCTTGACTATTTGTTATAGTTTGGTAATAAATAAGGATATGCAACTAGAAATAAAACAAGAATCAGTAAGAATTGATGTATTGTAAATCATTTGACCCTTTGCCATCTATATACCCTAGTAATATTCCATTTTGGTGGAATAATGGCTCTAATATTGGCAGAGGTAAGGGCTTGCTTTACCAAAGAAGGCATGCATGTTGGATTTTCATTTGAATCTAAAACCATATTTTAAGTTTGTTATTGCCTAGACCAGGAAGACATAAGAAACAATGTGCTTTGGAAAAGATATGCAGACCTACATTACCAAGATTTCCCATCACTTTCTGCATTTATGTACACATTTTACCAGGCCAGAAGTGCTGAAAAAATGGTTGTCATGTTTTCAGCCAACACTCCCAAAAATTTGATAAGCATCTAACCATTATATTGCAGAGTTGGTGAAATCATGAAAATGGGACAGTGAGTTGAACTCTTTTACACTGTTTCACCAAAGATAAACACCCTTTCAAATTGTGTATCCCCAGTGATTCATGGATGGGGCCATGATATCAAATCCTATATACATACTATCAAAATGTAGGTAGCCAGATCGAATTTGGATACTGGAGATAGACTAAAACCTCAATACAAATTAGGTAACTAAACATGAGATTGTAGTCCATCAAATTAGTAAGCTTGGAGTGGTGGCTACTTTACAACACACATAGCGAACAAAAGTAGCCACCCTCCAAAAGGAAGGACAGTGTGAGCACCAATTCAGGGATTAGTTGAGGATCTACAGCTTGAGTGATACACAAATAAGCTACATTTTTAGTATTAGGGTACTAGTCAGGGTGCATTTTTAAGAATTAGCTCCTGAGTTTAGTGTTAAGCCTTCCATTTAACCTGTTAGGTATTTTGTCAAATAACACTAGTGTTGTGAAAGCACACAAACAAATCATACATACAGTATCAGATTGTGGGTTTCACAAAGGAACACCATCCAACAGCAGGTGAGGCTAAATTGTTGGATTAAATAAACAAGGAAACATATCAGTGGCCTTTTCAAATCCAAACTATGCTAGCATCCTGGCCACAACCCCAAGGCAAAAACAACAGCAATAATAAAAATACTAAATATTCAAGTTACACCTGTTTCAATTAAAAATAAATAAAAGTACATACATAAACAACTTCAAACCTGTAAATACATGATTTGACATACAGTATGTACTTGTATCAGGGTACAGTAGGAAATATGTGTATGGCTAAATTTGTGTTTAAAACTTTTTAAGAAATTTAAAAAGTTGAACAGATGTTTTGTTTTGTTTTAAATGTAGTTGTATTATAAGACACCTATAAATAGGATAGGTGTTAATATGGTATAAATCCAAGTCCATGCAAGACTTTACCCTATATAAATCCTCCCTCCAAAAATGCAGTACCTGCCTCCATACAGCTAAAAGACCTACTTCATCATATTCATTAACACTAGGGATGCACCAATACCATCTTTTCGGTACCAAGTATGAGTACCGATATTTTGCTTTTGGTACTCACTAATACCGGGTACCGATACCGGTGCTTCCGCTGGCATGGAGCTGGCTTCATGGGCAGACAGGCGTGGGGGTAATGAGATGCCGCCCGGCTTCATGATTGTCCGGGAAGCTGGCTTCATGTTGTTCGGCTGGCTTGATTGTGATTGGCCGGCAAACCGGCTTCCCAGAGTCACCAAAGAATCAGCACAGAGCGATATCTGCTGCTACAGGAGATTACCTGGAGAACTAATGATCAGAAGGCTGTAACACAAGTGTTTATAGACACTCAGAAATGCAGGTCTGATATTTCTGGTGGGTATCTGTGTATAATTAATAGTGCGGCTGATGGAGTACTATATTTGTTAACTAGGTAGCCTAGGTGTGCGTGGATGAGCTGCAGCTGGATGTCAATATTTAAAAGTGCGGTGTTGATATTTTTGAATTGGTGGGGAAAAATTGGCTAGCAGCACCAATGTTTGATGAAAGTTTCAACATGCACATTTGAAGACACATGGTACAGACAGCCATCTTTCTTAATAAATTAGAGCTACAGCCCTCAGGTTTGTGGAGGTAAACATTTGCCAATGGCACCACAGTTTGATGGAAGCATCAACAAGCAAATGCAAAGAAACAAGGCAAATGGTAGCTTAAAACTGGCACCATTTAATGGCAGCACAAACTGGCCTAAATGCACAAACACCAGAGGGTGTCTTTCTAAAAACAAATTAGAGCTGCATCCCTTAGGTTTTGGAGGGAAAAATTGACCAGCTATAAAACAGTTTGCCAGCAGTGACAACAGGTCAAGATGTGGATAAGCAAAATGCTAACTAAAACCCTTAGGTTTTGGTTGGTTAAAACTTGTGACCAGTGGCACCATTTTTGGCTAACTTCTTCTGAGCTGTAAGGTTAACCTAACCTTAAAGGTTTGGCTAACCTTTAATGTTAGCTTTATAGCATGGATCCAAGAGGTCACCCAATAATTATCTCTCTTTTAACCTCCCTGGCGGTCTGATTATGCAGGATTTTTGCATGCCAAAGCGGTACATTGTTTTTCTGTAATTCTTAGTAAATCTTAGGAGTAACTCACCAAAATCTGTCCAAACAAGAGTCTAGTAGACATCCCGGATATAATAAAGTTTGAAGCCGGCTCCGCCCCCGCGGTGGCACCCAAAACTAAACTAAAAGTCAGATGGCGGCATCGGCTGGGCGCACACAGCAGAGGACACAGAGGGGTTGTAGGGACAAGGTAAGTTACACTTTGTGTAATCCCGAGTGTGGCTCGGGGTTACCGCTATTGGTACTGAAAATTAGCCACACTCGGGAATACCGCCAGGGAGGTTAAGACATTTATGCATAATTTCATAAGCACTGCAGCATAACACCACATACATCACACATTTCCTGGAGCTAAAGACCCAAAGTCCTTTTTTGTCACTTAGCACAATATGATCCTCTGCCTGCTCACCATACCTACATGCAATGACCTGGGTGTGTGATGGCTGAAATGTCTCTTCAAAAGCCTGTACTCCTTCCTTATCTTGCTTCCCTCCAGACCCACAACCGCCTTCCCTGTCTTCTTCAGCTTCCTCCTGCTTCTGTGTCACAGGGATGGGGCCAATGGACAGATAAGGAGTTTTTCTTACTTGCCCCCCATCCCCGCCACAGCTTTAGGACCACATAGCATGTGTTTAAGCAGAAAGACGAAGGGGGTTATTCACAAAGCAGCCGAGGGAATAACCTAGCCGAAGTAAAGTTCGGCTATTCACTTCAGCTCAGTGCGGCTATTTTCAGCCATACATCGGCTAAAGCAGCCATATAGCAGCTGCCTTCGGTCAGCCGAGGTCCAAAAGCCATTCAACTCAGCCAATCCAACATCTGGATTGGCTGACCTGAAGCTCCAGCAGTTCACTCGCTGCCGTTCGCCCCTACTCTCATACAGGCCGAAGGGCAGTGAGTGATTAGTCGAATGCTGAGGATTGGCATTTCGCTCCACAATTCTGCTTGTTAGCTCAAGGTAGCAAACAGAATAGAAAAAATTTAAACAAATGAAAAAAATGTTTAACAATTATTTAAATACATGTAAAAAAATTAAAATTAAACATGTTTAGAAAAAAATAAATTTTATTGAAAAAATGAAAAAAAAAACACCAAAAAAATGTGTGAGGTCCCCCTCCCAAACAATACCAGAGCCTTTAGGTAGGAATGTAGGTAGGAATGTTAGGAGGGAGTCCTATTTTAAAAAAAAGAAGAAAATGATGGGGTTCACCCCAAAAGTCATACCAGGCCAGTGGTGGCGAACCTTGGCACTCCAGCTGTTTTGGAACTACAAGTCCCATGAGGCATTGCAAGGCTCTGACAGCCACATACATAACTTCCCGAGGTAGATGCATGTTGGGATTTGTAGTTTTGGCACAGCTGGAGTGCCAAGGTTCGCCACCACTGTACCAGGCCCTTAAGGTCTGGTCGGAATTTTAAGGAGTAACCCCACCCCCATAAATGGGGGGGAAAAACATTGGGTCCCCACTAAAATTCCCAAGCAGACCCTTGATCCAAGCACAGGCCTGGCAGGGCAGGAAAGGGAGGGGGGCGAGCACAGTGGCACTGGGAGGGGTGCTTTTCCAGGGTCACCCCTGGAAAAGCACCTTGTCCCCGTGCCAATGGGGACAAGGCCTCTTCCCCACAAGCCCTGGGGAGTTGGTTGTGGGATTGCAGGCAGGGGGGCCTATTCACATCAGGGTATGTCACATGCAAATGCCCCCCCTTTTGAATGAGTAGGGGTACTTATACCCCTACCCATTAACTAAAGAGTTAAATAAAAGATAAATAAAAAGTTCAGACTGTTAGGGAAAATCCTTTAATTGAAAAAAAAAATGCAACAAAGGATTTTGACAATTCCTTTACTATAAAAAAAAATCCAAAAAATTGATCCATCAACGTAATAATGACGTCCAGTGTTGTCCATGACGATTCGGTGAAAAAAAACCGACACGGAGTGAATGTGGGTAATGGCATGCTGTGAAAAAGGACTGCTGCTGTTCAAAGCAGGACTAGTACCGCTTGATGAAAACCTATATTGCTGCAAAAACTACCATAAACAATACTTTTTTAGACAGAGATGAATAAAAAATAGACGTTTGGGCAATGCTGTTGTTAGCAAAGCTATTTATAAAAAATATATACAACAAAATATGCATTGCCAAAGTATGCTGTCACTGAGGATATCCCTGAAAACTGTGTTAGTTCCATAACACCACATACAGCTCTAAGGCATCCAAAAAACAATTTAAAGGACCTTTTTACCTACCATGTCACTCTTGAAGCAGTATGAAAAGGTAGGTCTTGTGAGTGACAGGTTTTTGGAAGCTTGGAATCTGTCATTTAGTGGTGGGGCTGTGGTGTGTAAAGATTGGTGAGCGACAGATCCTTGAGATTGACATGGATTGTCTTTCTGGATGACTTGATTGATGGATACATGGCTGGATACTGTGTTTAATGCTGGATGGTTTGTTTAGTTACACAATTAATTACACAATGTTTTTTAGAAAAAAAATATTTTTCATTTAAAAAAAAGGTGGTACTATATCACTATGACTCATGAGACACTTTAAAAATTAATTCCTTGTGGAATGTTTTGCAATTACCTTGTTGCAGTTACATTATATATTTCAAGAGCATTCATGCTTTTCTAAAATACATGCTTTGATTTTTGAAAGCTGCAGATATTTTTATACAGTGTTCTTATAAAAGCAACAATGTATTTTAATTGAAAGTGGACATAAAAGAACAATGTATATTATAAACATATAACATAATAGTGGCATTACATATATGACAAGCAAGGAACAAAGAAATATTATGGAGTAATATTTTCAGTCCGAGACAGCAAGTAAGTATTTATTAAAGTATAGTATAGTAATATAAACCAAGAAAAAACATTATGGTATATATAAAAATATTGCTGGATATATAAATATTATGATAGATTTATTTTTCATTTATCTGTTCGTTCAAGATCACTGAAATGGTCTATGTTTTCAATTCCAATGGCTGAATAAAATTCAGTAAAATGGGAGATTTGACCACATGTTTTAAGGAAAAACCACATAATTCCTTCAATACCATGTTTTAATGTGAAAACTAGGTATATATCATTTTGTAGGCTTTACATTCAGGACATGCTAAAATATCCTGTTGTGTAATGTGTGCTTTAGTTTATGTCGATATCAGTTCATCCTTTTTAAACCTTTTTATTCCACACTAAAATAACTTTTCATCCAGCAGCTGAATTATGATAAGTAAGCAAAACAATATTAAAGACGCACTGCAGTTCAACAACCCTTATAGCTGTATTCATTTAAAACATTTTACAATTTGAAATTACAATTATTTTAATTACAATTTAAAAAATACAATACATACACTACCCTAAGAGATGTGCTAAATTGTAAAACAGTGTCCACATCCAGAGAATTAAAAACAATATCAGTGTATCCTCTGCTGATATTACACATACTGTAATACAACAATGTCTCACAGCCATGTGATCAAATCCAGTGAAAATGATCCATTCACTATTGGTGTGATGTGAAAGTAAATAATTTGTTTTTACTAGATGTGATCACACAGATCTGGGACATTGAATAATTATATGTGTTATATCAGCTGAGGATATACTGATATTATTGTAATAATGTGGATGTGGTTTTTACAATGTTAAGTCATTTCTTGGGCTAGTGTATGTATTTTACTTTAGGGAGTTATTCACTAAAGAGGCGAGAGATTTGGCTTGCTTCTGCAGCAGGAGCCCTTCGGTTCAACCGAACAGAAGGGCTGTTGTCCAGGCTATTCACAGTAGACCATACAGCAGCCGAAGGCACTCAGCTGAGCCGAAGCATATGCGTTCAGCTCGGCTGAGCCGAAGACACAGCCGAATCGGGGAGAACTAAGCAGACCGCTCTCCACGCAAATGTAAACAAATATAGAAAAAGAAAAAATTGGTGTGGGGTCCGCTCCCAATTCATACCAGACCCTAGGTTTGGTAGGAATATTAAAAAAGACTCCCGAGTTAAAAATAAAAAAAGTGCGTGAGGTTCCCGTGGAGTAACGCGCTGGAAAATGTCCTATGCCCAAAGAAGTACAGGAGCTTCTTTGGGGCGTATTTTCCACGCGTAACCATGAGGATACGGTGGGATAGCCCTCATAAAAGTGCGTTTGTCGCTCGTTTCTTTTACCGCAAATCACTGTAAAAACGCGCGGCACGAAACGCGGGCCAAATGTGCATATTCCGTATGCCCAGGTGAACCCAGCCTAAAAGTGACTAGAGTGTAGTGTTACCATTGATTTAACAAAGCAAACCCAATGTGGAGAATTTGTAAACATACACAAACATTCTGCTATCTTTCCAATTACATTATTCCTATTTTAGAAATGCTGAAAGATATATGCTAGGCTGAAAGAAGAGGTTGATGATTTATCACAACCAAGCAGATCTCTCTCAAAGTAGCACAGGCTCTCAGACTATTAGTACCACTGCAGACCAGTGTTTTTATTACATGTATTACTCAACTAGATTTAAAACACATTTTCAAACAGTGCATATGCAGGGTTTGGGGTCCAGAAAGTGTGTCTTGTCTGGGGTTCACACCTCTAAGCACCTCTTGGCAATGAGACTGAACTGAAAAGTTTAGCTGCACTGTCAATCTTCTGTCACAAGGTTTCCCATGTAGTGGAGAAACAGAAAACAAGCAACAAAGTACAACATACTAAGCACTATGCGCTATCCGCTCTTTGGCAAATCAGTAAAGGGTTTCTTTGAACCCCTTACAAGTTCCCTTCCTGGATGTTATTTACAGAAAACCTGCATTGTATCCAAGAGTACAGGATTATGATCCCTAATAAAATGTAAGAGAGCTAACCACTGTGCTGCTAATGTCAGAACTTGAGGCATTTATTTTCTCATACCAATTTCTGCATTACAATTAGGGGGTCGACCGATTATCTGTGCGGCAAATTATTTTGGCCAATATTCACAATAAATTAAATAATTCATATTGGCATATAATATGCCAATATTACCGATATTGCAGTGAGAGTGGCCAGCCCTGTAGAAGCACAATGAGGTACTGTGTGGCCTCCCACTTCATGCAGTGTGTTATCCTCCCCATTGCCTGTCACATAACTCTGGCCATGGAGGAGAAGGAGACAGAGGCAGAGGGGGGTCACAGCCTGGAACAAGGTAGATAAATCCTGGGGTGAATTTCCTTCCCCTTCCCCAAGCATCTGCATTGTCAGCTATAAGTTGATGAATTGCCATCTTAGATAATTTCTGGTTTACTACTCTGTACTCTTACATTGATATTAGAGTGATTGTGTAAGTAAAACGTTAAAATTCTCATTCATTGACTGCAGGTTTTAGATCTCACTTCTTCTGAGTTACACTTTTTAATGCTTTTTAAATAAAGGTTGGTACAAATAATTTGACTTTTCTATCATACTTAGGACAAAGTGATCTTGGCGACATCGCCAAGATCACTTGTAAAGAAACATTTGTTTTCCCCCACTCTACATTTAGTCCTGCTTGTGCAAAGCAGGACTAAATGTAGAAAACAAATTACCACCCGGGTGACTTCAAACCTGTGCCGCCCCGAGGTGGCCTTTTCGGGAATCCGGCCCTGATCATACTACCAATTAACTTTTGTTAGGATGGCATAATTATAGTTAAAATCATAATTTAAGATTCTGTACTCAGCCCACTACAACCTATTTAATTTAGGGCACTTGAGGATAACAATAAATTCATAGAATTGATTACAATGTACATCATTATATTTTATTTACTAATTTTCTTTTTGATTCATTTAGATGTATTTTAATCAAAGCAAACTGGTGGAATTTATAATCCTGGGGTTTCCTGGTTCTCTGAGTCTGCAATACGTTTGCTTCTTGCTCTTACTGATAACATACCTGTTAACACTTATAAGTAACTGTGTGATCATCATCATTACGTGGACAGAAAGACGTCTGCATACCCCAATGTATTTTTATCTTCGTAATCTCTCTTTTCTGGAGATTTGTTATGTTTCTGTAATTGTCCCCAAGATTCTCACCACTATTACGTCAAATGGGAGATATATTTCTTTCCATGGTTGCATAATACAGATGTTGTTCTTCTTCTTCTTGGGATCCACAGAATGTTGTCTATTCGGTGTCATGGCATATGACCGCTACTTGGCTATTTGTCATCCACTGCGTTACACAACACTGATGAATACTACCATGTGCTATAGTCTTAGTATTTGCTCAGTCATTGGAGGCTTTCTGACCACCTTTCCACCCATTCTTTTAATCTCCCAACTTCCATTTTGTGGAAGTAATATCATTAACCATTTCTTTTGTGACTCTCCTCCCATTCTTCAACTGTCTTGTGCAGACACATACCTAATTGATAAAATGGATTTTTTGTTTGCTTCCTTAGTTTCCTTATTGTCTTTCTCAGTGACTTTGATTTCCTATTTTTATATTTTTGTAAAAGTCTTACATATACCCGCTAACAGTAGAAGAAAAACCTTTTCTACCTGTTCCTCCCATCTAATTGTTGTGTTTATTTATTATAGTACTGTTATATTTATGTATGTGAGGCCAAAAGTAAGTTTTACTTTTACTCTTAATCGGGTAGTTGCAGTTTTTTACACTGTTATTACACCTATACTTAATCCTATAATATACTGTTTAAGAAATGAAGAAGTGAAAAATTCCATTAAAAAGCAACTGAATACTTTAAAGAACTGTTATATAAGATAACAATAATATTTATTACATGGAATGTAAAATGTTAATGTATATAATATTCTTTCTTATTTTTTTTTTATGCTCTTCATAATAAATTTATCATGGTCAGCATAAACCTCCATTTCACGCCAGTTTTCTTCATAGTGCTGGTAAGAAAAAGCTTGTTGATTACAGATCTCAGTAGCTTAAGCTGATATATGCACACACAATAAGAGACAGATGAAAGCAAACAATTTCTATTAACTTTTAATGTGTGGTATTAAAATAAAGTATAGTTTTACCTTCTTTAAAACATTGGTTACCAAATCTCTTTTTTGCTCCATATTTAATTGTAAAAGAAAGCATTTGTATAATTAATAAAAACTTCCTGTTCGCTTTGCTTTATTAGTGTTGGATTTTTTTTACCTTTTAGGAATTAAGGGTTGCAATATTATGTATAGGGTGAAGCTTTTAAGCGTTGTGTGAAGAGAAGTATAGAGTCAGACATACACTATATTGCCAAATGTATTGGGACACCTGCCTTTGCACGCAGATGAAATTTAATGGCATCCCAGTCTTAGTCCGTAGGGTTCAATATGGAGTTGGCCCACCCTTTGGCGCTATAACAGCTTCAGCTCTTCTGGGAAGGCTGTCCATAAGGTTTAGGAGTGTGTCTAGAAAGGTTTGACTATTCTTACAGAAGCGCATTTGTGAGGTCAGGTACTGATGTTGGATGAGAAGGCCTGGCTCGCAGTCTCCACTCTAATTCATCAAAAAGGTGTTCTATCGGGTTGAGTGCAGGCCAGTCAAGTTCCTCCACCCCAAACTCGTTCTTCCATGTCTTTATGGACCTTGCTTTGTGCACAGTCATGTTGGCCATCCCCAAACTGTTCCCACAAAGTTGGGAGCATTAAATGGTCCAAAATGTCTTGGTTTGCTGATGCCTTGAGAGTTCCCTTCACTGGAACTAAGGGTCCAAGCCCAACACCTGAAAAACAACCCCACCCCATAATCCCCCCTCCACCAAACTTTACACTTGGCACAATGCAGTCAGGCATTGTCGCTACATCAAGCAAGGAAGGTTAGCAATCTAAAGTTAGTACGATAAGGGGTAGTGTGTGCGATTCATTTTGTTGTAAATTAAAATTCATACAAATTTTCGGAAATTGAATGTAAGAAATTATGAATCAGAACATATCTGAATTTTCCAATAACAAAATTTTGGACTTGTGTTGTTAAATGTTAGAATAAAAGAAAACAGCATGGAGTCCCCTCCCAATTCATACCAGACCCTTTGAGTCTGGTAGGAATTTTAGGGAGGACCCAAATGCCCCCAAAAAACAAAACAAAAATGTGTGGGGTCCCCCAAAATCCCTTACCAGAACCTTGATCTGAGGAGTAGCCCGGCAGAGCAGGAAAGGGGGGGGGGCAAGCCATACCGGGCCACATGCCCTTGACATGGGGAGGTTGCTTTGCCAGGGGGCACCCCCTGGCAAAGCACTTTGTCCCATGTTGATAAGGACAAGGGCCTCGTCCCCACAACCCTGGCCCGGTGGTTGTGGTGGTCTGCGGGCAGGGGGGGCTTATCTGAATCTGGGTGCCCCCTTTCATGAAGGTGGAAACAGATGCAACTCCCCTCATAAATGAGTAAGGGGTAGTTGTTACCCCTACTCTTTCACCAAATAAACAGTAACATTGTAAATAAGCACGCAACACTGTATAGAAAAGTCCTATATTTAAAAAATAAAAACACAACAAAGGTTTTTGACAAGTCCTCAAGCGATGTAGATCCACATCAATCATGATGGACGATGGCCGCCGACTCACTGAAAGAAAAAATACCTGATGCACGTCCGACATAACCGATCTTGATGAACTCAGGACTCAGTAAATGACAGCTCTGACCCAAATGTCAACAAAGGGGCGTTGTGAGTCATGGGGGTTGATTTACTAACCTTATAAACACACCACAAACGTGTATACACCTCTGCAGTGTGTCCCCTCCTAGCATGATCTATGGGTGGAATCTAAACACCTTTGTAATGTGTACACACCCAGCAGGTGTGTTGTGCAAAGCCCTGAAGGAATTCCAAGGTGATGTTGGGTAAATTAGCTCTATGTTGTGTTGCTTGCGTTGATGAATGCAAGGAATGTAAATGCATGAGCTAACCATTTTTGTCTAAACTGTGAAGCAGCATTATATATGCATCATGTGCATGATTTTTCGATATATGGCATTAGTGGAAATATGCTTTTAGAGACTTTTTGGTTGGTAAATACGTTTTGCTGTGTGAAAATCACACACACCTGGTGTGTGTGTGTGTTTAGGTTAGTAAATCACCCCCATGATGTCATGAGACTTGTTCCACCCCGTGTTGACAATCGGGAGCAGAACTATCTTAATAACAACTCTGCTCCCAAATAGCATTTGGGAGCTCCTGAATGCTACTGAGGAGTCCCCGAATGCTCCCGAATGCTATTAGGAAGCAGAGTTGTTATTATGACAGTTCTGCTCCCGAATGTCGACAAAGAGGTGGAACAAGTCCCATGATGTTACGACTCGCTTCCCCCTTTGTTGATATTTGGTTTAGAGCTTCCAAAGCACCCTCCCCATGTTGAGGGCATGTGGTCTGGATGGTGCAGGAAGAGGGCCGCATGCTTGTCCCCCTTTCCTGCTCTGCCACTCTGCTGCTTGGGTCAAGGGTCTGTTAAGGGATTTTAGGGAGTCCCCCTAAAATTCTTACCAGATCTAAGGGGTCTGGTATGAATTGAGGGAACCCTCACTTTTTTAATTGCTTCTGTGGACTGTCAAAAGTAAAAAATAAAAATTTAACTTTTTTTATAATGTCACTTTGCTGCAACAAAAATTAGTTCATAATTATCTAATGCATCCGAAATTATTGGAAATTTTGGATTGGGACAAATCTGAATAACAAAATCAATTGATTTTCATACCCGAATCCCAAAAAACGATATAACGAAACATAGGTAATTAAATTAAACACATTTTCTATGTATAGTGTGCACCACAATTGCCTAGTGTGCACCCCCCTGTGAAAGGACCTCTTTCACACAGTTTTCAATATTGGCCATTGCAAAAGTCGGAATTTAAAGGCGGGGATGGGAAATAGTAGGACCCAAACATAATATAAAAATTTAGGCAGGAGAGATATTTTTACAGCTGTAATCTTTCCCAACTATGAGATGGGATGTCTCTCCCAGGAGGTCAACAACAAAGACAGGTGTGTAAAAAACTTAGGGCAGTTAGCCAGGTATAACATAGTTAGGTTGAAAAAAGACACAAGTCCATTAAGTTCAACATTCATATCATAAGATGAAGTAAAGTTAACCCCCAAAAAGGAAATGGCAGAGGAAACCCATGTATAGGGAAAAGACCTAAAACATTTAGGGAAGGTAGGGTAGAGGCGGCGCCCTGGGACAAAAGTGTTTCCTGCAGGTAATGGGGTGACGTAAAGAGGCATCAAGCTTTTGGGTTGATTAAAACCCTGGACGTTTAAGGATACTATCAGGAGAAACTTGTTTAAAGGGGAGGTAAAGCGAAAAAAGGGAAAAAGAGAAGGAAAAAAAGAGAGGAAAAGGGGGGAAGGGGAGGGCTGAAAGGAAGATTACATTTAAAAGAGCATGGGGACAGATGGGAAAGCACCACAGAGTGTATCAGGGCAAAGAATGAAGAGGTAGACAACAATATAGTTCACCAGTCAGGACCCAGGACTTGTGAAGGGTCTAAAGTGGTGAAATAGAGGGTGGCATGGGTCTACCAAATGGTACAATTGCCAGCCTGTAATGTTCCTGAACAAGAGATAAGGGTATGACATAAAGCTGCTTAATGTAGCAGTAAACAACCTGTGTTAGCACATCATAAGGCATCATAAGGCAATTGGAAAATAGACTGAGTAAAAAAAATGTATTGAGAGCGCTACTACTGTACTAAAGCAAACAGGAGAACTCACATTTGAGAAGTCATCTGCGGGAGGAAATCCAGTGAGGCCCCTGGGTGAATACAGACCTGAAGAGTCCAGTGGTCTGGTGGATTAACTGCCTATGAAAACGTGGGCTGCAATGGAAGGACAGCTGTCTCTTGCAAGGACTCAGCTGGCCAGGCTGAGCCGTTGCAGCCGAGGGCACAGTGTGTCTAAAGTGCTGTCAGTTGCCTCGGGAGGCAGAGCGGTGGTTCGGACAGGGACAGACGCCGACGGAAGTGGTAGGGGGGTCAAAGAGCACTGTAGGGCAGTAAATGCTGGGTCGGTAGCTACGCGTTTCGAGGCGGGGCCTCTTTGTCAAGCTATGATCAACCGGGATGGATAGAATTGCGGGAAAGCGCTTGGGCTTAAAAATGACAGCTGGGCGGAGTTAACACATATATTGCCTTCCTGATAGGTGGAATTATAAAGAGAGGAGTGTATTGGTATCCGCCCCCTCCATTGAGAAGCAGCACATGCGTGACTCAGGGGCATATAGGTAACACATCTATTGTTATGTTATAAAAAAGTGTATAAAAAACATATAAAAAACAAAAACAGACATCATCAAGGAATTTATTCGAAACTAAAACTCATCTTTTATTATTGTACATTTTTCTCAGGATTAAAAAATAATTTAGATGAATAAAAATATCCAATGTTGATGTAACATCGAATACTGAGTGCGATTAAAAAACCTCACCCATCTAGTGGGATCTGGTGGCAGGGGGTTAAAAACAATTGAAAATGTGACATAGTCTGGATGGTGATGTGCCTAGTGTGTATATCACATGGGATTTATAAAATAGTGTTAATTTCGATTTCCTCATTAAGACCTATTGGAACCAAGGTGTTTAGCTTATATATCCAATATGTCTCTCTTTTACAAAGAAGATGGAACCGTTCTGAGGAGGATAATTGGTTAGAGATGTGTTCGATGGCGAGGTAAATGCATATGTGAGCTTGCAACAGCAAAGCATAGAGCTAACACAAACAATGTTTTGTTAAGGACATCCATGAGTGTAAAGGCACAGAGAACATCAGAGTGACCCA